GAGAGAGAGAGAGAGAGAGAGAGAGAGAGAGAGAGAGAGAGAGAGAGGGAGAGAGAGAATATGAATGAAAGGAGAAATTTAAAACGGAGCGAAGGGACAATTTAAAAGACATAAATCCACTTTATCAACACATCGACTTTTTATTATCCAGTCTGCGCGGTTTACATTTTTTTTTTCTTTTTAAACCAAAGAGATGCATGCTCTCCGGCAGCTACTTCACTGGTTTGGCTTTTCTCTCAGAACCTCTACCTGTCTATCTAGCCTCTGTCTGCCGCTTCTTTCCGTAATTAATATCATCCTTTCAACGTGAAATATAAAAAACCCTGCGTCTGTAATGGAGGGAAAACCACATAAAACAGTTATGCAAATCACTGGTCCTGATGCAAGGCGGCTAGGGGATTTGGGTTCATTTCTCCCAAGACCGTCTCTTTTGAGGGATGGAGGGTGTAGGATGTATGGAAAGGGAAGAAGAAGCTAATTTTGAAATAAATGACTAGGCGTGAGTTGGAGTGTATGGGAGAAGGCACTTTGGGGTGGTGGAGGAGGCATAAGAGGCGTGCATGTGGAGGACCGAAAGGCGGAAGAGCTTGCTTTGAAGAGTAGCACAGGGATGCAGCTTGAATGAGAGAAAAGGGAATGCGAGACGATGGTCGATAATTTTTTTTTTTAAAGCTGGGTGTCTCTTTTCTTGATAAATCGTTGTCCACTTCCAACTCTTCTGCCATTCATTGGTATTTGTGAGAAAGATTAGTTGATCAAATTTATTTCTCTCTGGGTAGAAGGAATGTGAAAGTAAGACACATGTAGACCCTCTGGGCGATCCAAACCCAAACATTTTTTTATTTTTTACAGGATTTAAATGAGGTCAATGAACCATCTTTCAGCAAGTTCTTGGAATGTAGCCTCTTTCTTGCCGTCTTCTGGGGGGGGGTGTACATATTGGGACAGTATTTTATTTGTGCATATTTTATGAATGTGAGTGAAGTAATGGGCAGGAAATTACTGAATCAATTTACTAACCATGTACAGATGTTTCCTTGAACATATCGTGGAGATTTTTAAATGTGTTTTACATGGGGTATAAATTTAAAATGTCATGTGCCAAGAAAGCAGAGAGTGCGTCTTCCAGGCTCACACCTCCTGCTCCCTTTTCTCAGCGCTCACTCCCCCACCCTGGTACTAGTACCCAGGTGGCTGAAGCTTTACTTGGATTTCTAATCCTGCCGAGAAAACATCCTCTCGGAGTCCCTAGTTCACCTCTCTGTAACTTGGATTTCTCAGCTTTTTTCTCCCTCTTCCCTCCCACTGTGCGTGCATGTCTGCCTGTGTGTGTATGTGTGTGTGCATGCGTGTGTGTGTGCTTGTGTGCGTGTGTGTGTGTGTGTGTGCTTGTGTGTGTGTGTGCTTGTGTGTGTGTGTGTGTGTTCGCGGGAGCGCGCGGATGCCGCACGCCAGCGCCTGCATGCACCGGTTAAGGGGAAGAGAGATGTACTGAAATCAGTTAATTTGGTGATTGCGGTGGAAATCCGGCATGGCTGGATGTGTTTTTCCTCTGCCAGTCTCAGTGTTGTGGCACTGTCTACTCATTCCCCACGCGGCTGGGCTGGTCAGAGGAAATTATTATAGAGCTTGTGGTCACGCACTGCACTTGGGGGTCGCCTCCAGTCTTTCTTCAACACATCTCTGTGAATTGTCTATTCAGTGCACTGAAAAGAACTGTCTGCTTGCGCCTGTCTCTCCTCTCTCTCTCTCTCTCTCTCTCTCTCTCTCTCTCTCTCTCTCTCTC